AAAACTTAACCCCCCCCCCCCCCCCACCCTCCAATCTTTTTGTAAAGAAAGAGCTACAAATAGTATATTTTGTATAGTTCCTAAGGTTTTGATTTCTTGTGTAGTAGTGTAAAAATAAAATGAGAACATAAGACCCTATGTAAACTCTATGCACTCAAGTTCTACTTTATTTACAGCTTGAACCGCAGAGGGCAGCAAACAAAAAGAAACTGAGCACTACAATTTGCAAGTTCACTGCTGCCTGGCAACCCTAGGGCGGGCGGCACTCCCTGTGCTACCGAGATCGATAGAGAGGCAATTGATTTAGCTTGGCTTTCAGATTCAGTTTTGCTGATGGACCTTTTTCCATTATCTCCTTTACTAAGAGACTTGAAATGAACAAATAATTTTGACTGGAAAAACTAATCTTGGCTTATTCTCACAAATATCTCCCAAACTGCTTGAACACAGGGTAAAAGCAATAAGAACATAAATAACTTCATTGACTTCTCAGTCAAAACAGATGAAGACATTCCCAGGCAACAAGGAAAAGTCTGGTGAGTTTATCTTACATGATCTGCATGATGAAATTACTATTTTCCATTTGCAAGTTCAGACACCATACTGAAGCCTCTTTGGAGCAATGGACTGAGATGTTTGTCAACTATTTGGCTTTGGCATTTTATTACCTTTTTTATTTTTACTTTTTTTTTGTTGTTGTTTTTTGTTTTATTCTTGACTACTTTGACATGGCTGTTGTAGCTCCAAGTCCACTACTAGACTGATTTAGTCTCTCCATATCTTTATAAGAGGACATATTTTTTTAATGTCATATTGAAACATATGTATAATTCCTGATTCCATTTTAAAGCACACAGAGAACATTTTTTTAGTTGACAGTGTTCCTTAAGTAGCTCAGCCAGCACTGAGTAGAATATTCTGATAAACAGCTTGAGATGTCAAAGGTGATCAAACTAGAGTAAAAAAACTCCAAACACCAACAAACAACAGATGTACAGAATGATGCAAGTCCAGTCTATTTCTACCATCTGACAACACAGTAATATTGTAAAATTTATTCTGATCATGAAATCGCTGCTCAGTAGTAAATTTGTATACTGAACATGTGTAAAAACATCCAGAACTAAATTTTAACCTGGCAGTTTTACCTGACAAGCACATGTGCTTTCACGCTTAGACTAAAAAAACCCTAATAAAATAAAAGCATCTATTACTTATCCCAATTTTACAAAGTCTTCCTTTACACTAACACCAAGATTTTTCATTTCTTGCTTGTCCACAGAAATAGAGATGTACATGTATGAAATATTTCAACTATACAAGATCGAAGCTAGTAAAGAATAAAAATCTATGTTCATATCCATATGAGTAGGACTCAATTATTACAATGCAATTTATTTATTTACTGAAAGTAAATACCCATTTTAGGAAACAAATCCATAGTTCAGATTATATTAGCAAAAAAGAAGAGCATCTTATTGAATTGCTGACCTTGGAAACAATCCTCCAAACAACTTACGCACCACCTTACAAAATGGTAACATTTTATGGGCTTATTGAAATGAGAAAAAAGCAGCTGCCACATAATTGCTTGGAAGAATATTCAACAGGCTAATGTCAGATACTTTTAGTTGTAATCTCAAAGCGCCAACACCAAACTCCCTTCTTTTTTTTGATGTTTGATACCCTTGCAAGTTTAAATTACAAAAGAAAAAGCCATTAATTTTCTGTTTAATGACAGAAGGCCACTACATGATACTGCAGCTTGAAATTAAATTTAGAATCATAGAATGGTTTGAGTTGGAAGGGACCTTAAACACCATTCAGTTCAAACCCCCCTGCATGGGCAAGGACACCTCCCACAAGGCCAGGTTGCTCAAAGTCCCATCCAATGTGGCCTTTATATTTTAGTATCCATAACAAAGATAATTATCCCTAACCAATCTCTCAATTTAGTGTTTATAACTAGGTTATTTATTTTTAGGCTTATTTTTTCTTACATTCCCATATATGCTAAATAGTATTTCTCCCTAAATGTTAGTTTTACATTGAGTGTTTTTTTATTATAGTCTTCCTATTTTTCTAATTTCCATGTTAATCTCAACTGCTTCCAGTGTAGTATCTACATCAATAAATGGAATGCTGGTCTTTCAAACGTCATATTTCTTAACACCAAGATAGTTGTCAATATTATTTTTAGATAATTTTGCCCCCAAAGCTGAAATCCTGTAGATCCTGTAGATCTTTGTAGACAAAGAAATGATTTAATTTCAGCAAAAAAATTTAAGATTTGTATTGGAGAAACTCCCTTTGACTTTTTTAGTTTTAGCAAAACTGATGAAATAAGAATTTTTAGTTAAAATCTTATGAATGTACATCTTTTACAATACTAATAAACTATTTATTTTTCCATTCTATATTTTGATTAGTAGTTTCTTTCTGTATCATCAGAACAATTTTTTAGACATGAAAAATAAATTATATTGAGATTATGAATATTGAAGACTTAACTTGTGCAATACTGACACAATTGAGACTTCAGAGTTTTCATCTGACTTTGGAACTAATACAATGTTTTTGGATGTCAGCTTTTCCTAGACATTCAGAAAAATCTTTTGACCTGCTCTGTTGACCATAATTTAACAAGTCATGACTTGTACTTCCCATATCCCATTCAACGAACACAAGGAAAGCAAATGCTGTAGTGAAACCAATTATTTATTTTTTGTGACATGGTCCAAATAAAGCTAAATATAACCTTTATCAACAACAGAAATTCCAAACTGATAAAACTGCGACAGCTTACTCCAACTATTTTTTTATCAGTTAATAATATGACACTAGTGTCAGCAGATCTTCCAGCTCTTGTATTCTGTACTAATTCATAATTATAGAATCATAGAATGGTTTGGGTTAGAAGGGACCTTAAAGATAATTTAATTTCAAACCCCCTGCATGGGCAGGGACACCTCCCACTAGACCAGGTTGCTCAAAGCCCTATCCAACCTGGCCTTGAACACTTCCAGGGATGAGGCATCCACAACTTCCCTGGGCAACCTGTGCTAGTGTCTCAGCCCCCTCACAGTAAAGAATTTCTTCTTAATGTCTAACCTAACTCTACTGTTTCTATGATCATATTCATCAGCACTGTAATTCTTCTATGATTTATTTTCACAATAGGTCAGTAAAATTTTTAATTTACTAGAAAATTAAGGCTATTATTCAAACATCACTGTCATTTGCTTCTTTTTAGATGGAATCTAATGCAACCATGGCAATTAAAAAAGTGCTCAGAACAAATGCCATCACCTTTTAGATAAAATGATTTGCTAAGTTCAGCTTCACAATAAACACTAAATCCCATTTAACTATATTGATTTATTTGCAGTTCACCTAGAAATGCCAATTTCTTCTCTGAAAAATGCATCAGTTCTGAAGGAACTTAATTTCACAGCGAGATAGCTTTGTATTTTCTAGATAATAGAAATTAGATTCCTGCAAAGACCACTAAAACACAAGAGAAAGTTCTTAGTACAGGTGCTTCACACTCTTGATAGACTACATATTCTGAAATTAGATTATTTGCTAAATTTATCTTAAATTAGTAACATAAATTATGTGAACAAGCACGTTATACAGTAATACAGAAGCAAATACTAATCCAGTATTGATTACACAACCCCCTTATTTCAAACTGGACTCCCTCAACTACTTCAATCTGAAAGTAAAAGCCCAAGAAAAGAAAATATTGCCATTGATACATAATAGTTTTCCTAAAATAAAGTATTGAGATAGCACAAAGGTGAATTAGAAAGGCTGAATGAATGTGTCTTTCTGTAAATGAAAACATCCATTAATGGTCATTTTGCATGCATTATGTGTAGCTTTATCAGACATGCTGGTGAAAAAATCCATGATTGCAATCAGAAAGCAGAAATAAAGACTTCTAATTACACATCAATGTAGACTCAGTAATCACAGAGTAATTGAGGCTGGAAAGGACCTCCAGAGGTCATCTAGTCCACCCTCCTGCTGGAAGTAGGTCTAATCAGATCAGGTTTCTCAGGGTTGTGCCCAGGTGAGTTTTGAACACCTCCAGAAATGGACATACCACACCCTCTCTGGACAACCTTGGGCAATATTAGACCAAAATCTCCTGAAGTGTACAATTACATCCTAAAAATGCAAACATTTTATTTTTCTAGACTAATGGAGTAGGTTTCATATGTTCTGTTAATGCCACTGAAAATGAGTGCTGGAGATGTACGGCAATTAGAAAAAGCAGTTTCTATTAATTCACAGTTCTGCTCACCATCCACTAGGTGTGCATGCAGAGTGATGGTTTGATTTCTTGGAAATACCAGAAGATCTAAGTTAAACAAATGAGCCAATCTCACATTTTCAACACAACCATCAGGAAAGAGCAAAGACAAATTGCTGCAAAATTGTATTTTGAAAAAGAACCTGCACTATTCATGTAGATAGCTGTGATCAGTAGTAAATAGTAAAAAGATGACCTCTCACCAAACCTCTTTACTGTAGTACCCGTTCCACTGGTGCCTTACCGGTCTCTCATGTTCAAGGATTGATGACTTTCCCGGCTCATATTCAAAAATGCTCCTTGGTTCAGAACGGAACTTGCGAGTATCTACCTTTCTGTCAGGGGGATCCCAGTCGTTTCTAAATAACAAATATAAGCAATTGAGTTAATTTACTATCATCACCATTTCCTTTAGAGCTCTATGCAAGAAAAAGACACAAACCCAAATCATTTTCAGCATAGTTTCTCCTTCCAAATTTCAGTTGTGTAATGTCTGCCCTAGTATCCCAGTGTTTTAACCACTATATAATCTTAACCTGTTTACAGCAGGTATATTCAGTACAGCTGGAAAAATACTAGGGTTGTCCAGCCTATGTGATCACTCACACTCTTGTTATAATGAGTAGACCAGTTAAAAAACTTCCCTGACATACCGTCTCAAAATAGCCTTGCAAATTTCCTATACTTGTTTTATGTGCTGTGCTAATATAGGCAAGTGGTAGATATTTATATCATCACACAATGGGATAATAAATCCATATTGAAAAAGTTCCAGAATTTTCTGAGAAAAAAAGAATGACTAATTATTTTAAAAGACAGTGTGAAAAATCTAATAGATGCTCTTCATCCTGATCTGTAGTAGAACTGCTCCTGAATATCCGTGTAAGCAATACACTCTTCCCTTGGAAATGTGAATAGATAAACAAGAAGACTTTGGCAGCAGACTTTGGGGAAGAAACTCATCAGTTTTTCCCTATGTTTGTCAATTTGCATTCAATTTAATAGTGCTATGCAAAGAATAAAAAGTAATGCTGCTACCCTTCATTTATTTATGTATTTATTTATTTAGAGTAATTTACCATGTTATAGTAATACCTACCTACACATTTTTGGGGGATAGTTAGCTATTTACTATCCTGGTGAGAGTTACCTTTTCATGGCAGTTTTTTTAGTCATTACTAGCATTGCATTTGGAAAACTGCAGCTCAGGTATCTTTTCATTTAGCTCTATGTAAAATGACCCATTGGTAACTCAAAGAATGGGGTAAAGGAGAGGGGAAATGCTGTCAGCTTTAACCTGTATTTACAATAAGAAAGAGCACCCACTGATTAAATTCTATCAGTTCTATCAGTCTTTCTGATGTGACTTGGTTTGATGTGACCTGACATGATAAGGCACAAGTCACATGCTGTAAAACAAATCTATGGGGTAGCTTTTGTTTACAGTGTTTGTGAGTGCAGTTTCTGGGACACAGACACCTCTATTTATGAAACGCACTACATTTTAAGTGAATTAGTTCTATATGGCTCTATTGTTTATTTTCACTGAGAAAAAGCATTTTTTTTCAGAGCAGAAAAGGTGGTATTTTTTGAGATTGGAAATGAAAATGGAAGTGTTGTGATCAAACTGCATTATTCTGCAAGTCACTGAAGAAAAAAAGCATGCTACTGAAATTCTGATTCAAACTCAGTCCCCTTAATTTACATTTAGTCAGTAATCCCTTATAGACTATGTTAATGTAAACCATATCTTGCCTCCCAGCTTTAATACTGTGATACATGTGGACCTAAGCCTCTTATGTGTGATTTTAAATACTCAGGCTTCATGGGCAATTAAAAAAAAGAATTTTCCAGTGGCAGAAAAAGCTTGACAAGCTGTAGCTGTCAGCAGGAGGCAAAGCATAGCTAACATGTTTGGCATCCCTTAGCCTGGCCTGGAGAACACAGATTTCCACTGCCTGTACTATCATGCAGGAGATTAAAGGGAGAGCCTAAACATCCAAATTCAGTGCTGAAGCAGTTATTTTCACACTTGAAAAAAGGAACTGTAACAGGCCTCATTTTCTGTGACTAAGGCAATTTGGCCTATAGCACAGGATGATGGCTCATATAACTTCAGAGATCAAAGTTAAGCAGATCCACGTTTTGATGCCTTGCTAACAAAATGTACACTTCCATATGACTCACTAACAAAACTCAAACCTCATGGCCTTTGGGGGCTTGCCCAACTCTAACCCCTAGCATTTCCTCTTTATAACCTGCCCTTAGCAACAGGATTAGCCAAAATCAGTAACCATGCAGCAACCTCATTTTCTTCACAATGTGTATCTGCTGGATTACCTTTCGGATTGCCACTACCTACAAATTTTTCAAAAAGTCACAGTCAAGGGTCTTTATTTTAAAGACCTAGTATGCTCTTTTCTCATGATATTTCATGCAAACTGCAAATTATTTGAAACTGCTTAACATAATTCAATTTTTAAATATAAAAAAATGTTTACAATATTCAAGCTGATGAAACAGGCAAATTCTATTTTGTTGCCTGAGTGTAACTGAGGCTTGTAAGCCACAAATGGAACAAAAAATGTGCTTTTGACATTTTTCATCTATAAAATATATATAGAGACACACATGTACATAGAAACGTATAACAACATAAAACTATATTAATATGTAGCATTTATGAATGCAAACACTAAACAAGCAGCTTTTTCTTGAGCTAGTAACTACACATATGTTGATGAGTCTATACAGTTTGCACACTGGGCACTATGTATGTATTTATCATTTATTTCCTGAGTAATTAAGTACTAACACTTTTCAAACTGGATTGTAATCACTGGGACCTGGATTTGTGCAGCAAGTTTGAAGCTGCAAAACCATGAGATAACTGAAATGCTTATTTATTCTGTAGATATCTTGGTCTACCAAAACAGAGATGGAGATTTAACAAATGGGGATGTAAAGCACTTCGGAGATTTGGGGAAACATGGGTTGACTGCTACAATCTTACACTTTTGCTCTTCCAAGAATTTCAATTTACAACACTATTCAGAACCTTTCTGTTGGCTACTGGAATGCATAAATGGCCCTTCCTTCTCATAGACTAACTATTCAAGACAGCTGCTAGAGCACAGACTATTCTGAAACACAACAAGCAGGACAATCCTGCTAACGAGAATGAAAATCCTAAATGCTCATGGGGGTATCACTTGCAAGAATGAGCGCTTCTCTAGCACACTGAAGAAATGGCAGGACCATGCATGATGCCCACACTACTGATGAAGATTAGCCCTTATCACTTGACTGTGCCTTGAATAAAACCCTTAAAAGTCATATTATTCTATAGCCATTATTTTACCCTTTGTGATATCCTGTAACTGCATTAGTGCACATACTAAGAACACTTGTTGAAAATATGCTGACTTACTTTTCTGGAGTAGACCTTTGCCTCAGACGGTGTGGTGGTGGTGGAGGTGGCACATGTGGAGGTGGTAAAGGGGATGAGACCTTAAAGGCATCAGAGCTACTATCAGAAGCACTTTTAGACAATGGCCTGTATGTCTGAGTCTTTGCAGCTGGGTGTGCCTGAGCAGAGAAGGATGGACTGTAGCTACCTAATATAAGACAAAACCAGAAGTAGTCACAGTGAGAGAATGAATTTTAATAAAACACAACATGGAATGTTACAAGAATCCACAGTTACTCGATAAAGCTGCAAGGTTACAAAACTGTGCAAATGCATTTTTAAAGGTACATTGATGTATACTCTGCAGGTAATTAGAATACTTCTTATATATTTATGTATAAAACTACAAACACACAGATAAAGTGCAATATAGTAAAAATAAATTAATAATTAATCTGGGGGGAGGAGGGGAGGAGAAGTTCCTGGCTGTGTGTATCTGCCAGAGCTCTTAATTACAGCTCATTACCCTCAGGTTCATCCTGACTGTCAATTGCTTTGTCTTCAGAAGGGAGAGGCAGGAAATGCACTTTTAAATTTTTTTTACTGTTTTAATAATGACTGTTAATCTAGGACAACTAGGCAATAGCGTGTCTTGAAGAGGATCACAAGAGTCCAAACACATCTTGAACACACAACAAATGCTCTCAACACTACACAAAAAGGCAGTATAAGAGCAGGGTGAATGCAACAGACACTGAAATGGAAGTATTTTAAGTGGCATTTTGCACATGGCACTGTGGTTTGTTTTTTCTTTGTTGCTTTTTTTTTTTTTTTTTTTTTTTTTTCACTTATCGTCTTTCACACTTTCCTTTTGCCCTTGTAAATAATTTTACTACATGGTTATAATCTTCTGAATGACACAACTATTATGTATCTAATATCTGTTACTTATCTATTAGATGAATGTGTCTTTCTTGCACCTAAATAGCATCAAGGGTCTAGAGCAAAAATGAACCAGATCATAAAACAGAGTAATCTTTATCAGGCACTAGTACTGCATATTTTAAAAAGGTGTTTTCAGTACAACATTTTTTGTCTTCCCATCTATGTAATTAGTGTTTGTACTTTCACACAGTAGTTGCCTTTTTAGTTTGGTAAGGAAAGGCTACAGAGCTCACAATCACTAGTGAAAATAAATGCAATGTAATCAGAAACTACCATATTACAATGTATCCAATCTACAGTGAGAGGCCCACAGCTGCAATTCATTTCAGTGGTAAGAATGAAACCAAAATTAAACTTTGTTTCATTTGGGAAAAAAGTCATGAAAAAACACCAACTGAGATCAAACAAGACAATAAAAGTGTTTATATAAGCATTAGAAAAGCAAGCGTGAATAGTTAACTGCCTCTGTTACTTGCTGACATTAACAAAAGACTGCTTTTGAAGTGAGGGAATAATTCCTACCAGTACTGTATGCATATGCAGTATTATACATGTCTGTGTCGTCATCTACAAAAAGAAATATACATGTTACAGTAGTGTAATACGTGCCAGTTTATCACAGCAATGCAGCTTTATTTTTGCAAATACAAACAGAAGATTGGTAGGCAACCAAATGCTGTACTTCTTTTCCTCATCTCATAGGTGTTTTCTGAAGACTCTCTTTTCCCATTATACTTACCATAGGTTGTGTTTACAATGTGATTGGTAAAATACTGTCTTCTTGTCCTGTCACTCATATTTCATACTTACTGGGAAGCATCGATTTGCAAATTATAGCTTTTTGTCCATTCTCCCTTCCCCAAGCTCAATTTCTTCCTTTTGTCAGCTCTCCTCTACTAAAGACTAGTAAGTTGTTCCTATCACAAAAATCAAGCTCACATTTTTATTGTGGTGACAGGTGTTCAAAATAGATGTGGTAAGCCAACATTTTCCTGCTTACATTTTTTATTCCCCCACTAATTCTGTATGACAATATGGAATGCAAGCTCTACCTCAGGCCAATAAAGACTCCATCTTTCAGGAGCTGTAATGAGCATATTTGCTATGTATAAAGTTTCCTGACATCCTTGGTGACAATCATGATAAAGGATGTCAACTCTGAAGCTAGTAATATCACCAAAGCTCAATTTCAGCAAAACCAAATAAGGCATTCTATGAAAAAAACAAAATTCAGACAGGAAATGTAAAACAGCCGGTTTACTATCCTGTGCTGTTCCAATACTTGAACTCTTCAAAAGAAAGCTGATATGGTAGGAGATCTACAGTGGCTAAAATCTCGTTCCTCAAACTGGAGATGAGGATCACTTCACCGAGCTCCCTGTGATGTAGAGTCATACTGGCTCCACACCAGTTCTAATAACTTTATTTTTTATTTAGTTTCAATAATAAAATAAACCCATTAAAATGTTCAGACTTTAGCAGAGGAAAATTTCTCTCTCTCCAGTAAAATCTATCATCCAGCTCATGCATTTGATTAGATTCTTTATCTGACACTTGATGAACACTTGTATTTTCACACAGCAGACAATTTTTTAATACCACTGAGAACTACTCAGCCAAGAAAAAAACATACTTACCAGGCTTATGAACCATATGGATTTGCTTGAACATTGTCTTGTACCAATCTTTCGGCCTGTCAACTGTCTAAATAAAATACAGTTTTTTAACAATTAGCAAACAAATTAAAATATCTGTGTGTTCAGATCTGATCAGACATTTAATATTGTTCTGGACACAAAGTCTATTATGATGTTTCTCCTATATAATATAATATTTTTCATCCAATCTATTTCAGATATTTCAGATAAGACAAAGGCAAACATGTTTTGAGTAATATTATTCTTAGGTCCTAAAACTGCACTTATTCCACAGTACTCAGAAAAGCAAAAGTTTTGATGCAGAGGTACAAAATTACCTTCACAGGAATAACTCAAAACACCCTTCTTGATGTCCGTTATCTTGCATTAGTTGATACTAAAGCTGCAATCGTTCTGTCCACTCCTCTTTACCATGAAAAGTGAAACCCAACAAATTCTTCTTTATAATGTAACCATCAGATACTAATACATTCACCGAGCTTCGTGCCATTTTTAGTTAAACACACCTTTGCCTTAGATACTTGTTACAGTTACTGCACATAATGATTCAGGTTTGTTAGCTCTTACTATAAGAGACTAAGCAGAAAATGCTTCCATATTTTAAAGAATCAATATGAGCTTTCATAAAATTCATAGAATCATAGAATCTTAGGGGTTGGAAGGGACCTCGAAAGATCATCCAGTCCAACCCCCCCTGCCAGAGCAGGATCACCTAGAGTACATCACACAGGAACGCATCCAGGTGGGTTTTGAATGTCTCCAGTGAAGGAGACTCCACAACCTCCCTGGGCAGCCTGTTCCAGTGCTCTGTCACTCTCACAGTAATAAAAATTTTTTCGGATATTCACCTTGAACCTCCTATGCTCCCATTTACACCCATTACCCCTTGTCCTATCACTGGTCATCACTGAGAAAAGCCTAATTCCATCTCCCTGACACTCACCCCTTACATATTTGTAAACATTGATGAGGTCACCCCTCAGTCTCCTTTTCTCCAAGCTAAAGAGACCCAGCTCCCTCAGCCTTTCCTCATAAGGCAGATGTTCCACTCCCTTCATCATCTTTGTAGCTCTGCACTGGACTCTTTCAAGCAGTTCCCTGTCCTTCTTGAACTGAGGGGCCCAGAACTGGACACAATACTCCAGATGTGGCCTCACCAATGCAGAATAGAGGGGGAGGAGAACCTCTCTTGACCTACTAACCACACCCTTTCTAATGCACCCCAGGATGCCATTGGCCTTCCTAGACACAAGGGCACATTGCTGGCTCATGGTCATCCTCCTGTCTACCAGGACCCCCAGGTCCCTTTCACCTACACTGCTCTCCAGCAGGTCAGCCCCCAACCTGTACTGGTACATGGTGTTTCTCTTCCCCAAATGCAAAACTCTGCACTTCCCCTTGTTGAATTTCATCATGTTTCTCCCTGCCCAACTCTCCAGCCTAAATCTCTCTGAATGGCAGCACAGCCTTCTGGTGTGTCAGCCACTCCTCCCAGCTTAGTGTCATCAGCAAACTTGCTGAGGGTACATTCTATACCCTCATCCAAGTCGCTGATGAAGATGTTGAACACCGGTCCCAGTACCGACCCCTGAGGGACTCCACTAGTCACACACCTCCAACCAGATTCTGCCCCATTGACTACAACTCTCTGACTCCTTCCTTTCAACCAGTTCCTGATCCACCTCACTACCTGATCACCAAACCCATACTTGATCAACTTATCTACAAAAATTGTTACTAAATAACATAAAAAATATTGTTTAAAAGAAGAGCTGACAATCAATTGAAGAACTCAGGGATCTGGTGGGGAAGAAAGACATTTAAGCAGCAGGTTTTTACCCAGACCTGGTTGCAAGAGATGCAGGAGATGCAGTTTCCTATCAAGTATCCCCCACCTACCAATATTCCTGCCTTCTGCCAAAGACATTCAGAAGCAGATTTAAACTATTTTATCATTGTTTCCCTAAAGGTATTAAAGCTCTGTACTAGCAGAACTCTGGCAAGAATAATTTAGCTGAATTTGATAGAAGTATGCTGTTTGGTGCTCCAAGATCATGTTGTTCAGAAGTTTACAGGGAAGTCCAGAAGCTCTGAGAGAACTCGTGCTGATGGGAATAACCTCCACTTCCCTTAGCACTAGAAACCTGCAATGGTCCCATGGTATTGCAACTGCCTTTCTCATTGTATTGTGGTCCAAGAAGAGTCTTCCAATAGAGCTCAAATCAGTGATAGGTGAATAGATTCGAAACAGAGCATAAATACTACTGCTATGACCCTACTGCTTGTCAAAGGACAAAGGTACATAGATATCTATTTGTCAGATCCTCCTAATCAGTCAGGTCCTCCACAACTCAACAGGAGGCTTCCACGGAGAGATGAGTTATGGAGAAGCTCCCACATGATCAGAGAAGGTGTCCCAAGATCTTTCTGGACATTTGAACTTTTCTTTCTCACCATCTTCCCCTCAACTTCCCCTTCCCCCACTCTCCCCAGGGTTTAAAACCTCAGCCAATAATTTGGCTTTGCAGTATAAGCCAGATAGGATTAGTTAAGGAATAGAATAAATGAATTTTAAAATAAATTTTCTCAATTTATATTCACTAATCCCACATTCCATCATTTGTTTGAGGAATTAGCAATATTCACAATGCACCAAGCCATTCAGATGGCATCCTGCTTTGCATAAATTATAGTTATTGCAATTAAATGTTGGAACATGGTATCATCATATGGAAATGAACAGTCATATAATGTCAATACATTAATCAATAATGTCTTCAGTCTACAGATTAATTTTCGCAGTTAGACATGAAGCAATCATTTTGGATAGTCTAAAACAGCTCAGTCATACTGCTTTCCATGAATCTGTTTTTTCCTTTCTGTGTTGGTGGTAAACTCTGGTGGTGCCATTTGATTGAATGTTTTTCTGAGTGAACAGCATTTTATCTTCTGTTCTCCAAAGACTTAATTTTTAATGCCTTGAAATTTCACCATCTTTGGGTCAGGGCTTGGCATAGTGGCAGGACTTAATGATATGAATTTTCAGGCTTCAGTCTTGCCCTTCCTAGAGTTGGCAGGAGCTCAAGTGGTATGGAGAGAACATGCTAACACAGGATGGAGGTTCTTAGAGAAGGGAAAGCTTTATAGGAATCCTTCCCCTCTCAGCAGCTTTGGACATAGAGGGTTTGCAGGAGTAGAAAGAGAAGAGAATATCACTCTTCTTGCCTTGGCTAAACAGCTGTCACAAACCATGTTCTAAGCGTAAAGACAGACTTGGAGGAAGCAACTACAGCTTGACAAATCTCTCTACTCCTGGGAAGCACTCCAAATCTGGAATACAGATACTCCCATCTTCTTATTTATAAGATTACCATTGAGTAGGATAGTGTTTCAGAACACGGTAAGTTACCTATCACCCATGAATTTGCATTTACCGCTTTCTTGATAGACTACTGACATTACCATAAAGATGGAAGGATAAGAAACTTTAGAACTTTGCATGCAGTGATAAACTCGACAAATTTGAAAACTCCTTTTTCTCTACAGATGCAGTTAGGGTGAACTTTCTGAGAGAAGATGCCTATTTGGACTGCTTACTGACCCTGGAGAAAGAGCAACTGATACGTCCACCTTCTGCTGTTATTGGGAAAGTTATAGGAATTTTGCATATTTCTGCATGGTACTGCACTTCTGAGAAGTGCCAATGTGCAGTATATTTGAGTCTTCTGCTGATAACTATATCACCTTATTACACTGCTAGGATACATGGGGCTTAAAAATGCTCATGCACACTTAAAATATAATTTCAGATCAATATCTCGAAAACAATCTCATTTCCAGCTGACTCCTAAGGAAGCAGAATAAGGACACAAAGTTGCACAGGAGACACACGCGCGCTAGAATAAGCTTTTAACTCATATCTCATTGTGAGAATTATTTCTACATACTAACTTTAGGAGCTATAAGATATTTTGAAACTGAAACATAACAAGAAACAGAACAAATCCAGCTGAAAAATGTCCTAATTCAAATTACATTACATTTTTGAAGAAAACCTGAGACTCAGATCCAAAAGCTAAATATAGGTGGGCAGACTGCCCACTCTGTTAAGCACACTTCAGGGGGATTTCTGTTATAATCTTATATAACTGATACGCACCCTATAAGATCAATTTGCTATTAAAAAACAGAACAAAGATAATTACTTTATGGTAGCTAAAGCATAGGGACACACTTTCATAAAAAGGGGGTAGGAAGCTAGACCGTTGTTGCAAAAATTTCTTAATAGTTTAAAAAAGATTCTGATCACATTACTTTCTATGTCAAACATAAAGCAAGAAATGCTAGAGTTTCCCCCCATTCTTATCAAAATTGTCCCCATCTTACCACATATTCTGATTTTTTCCTATTGCTTTTCTCCATCGATTCCTGATTTCCCCCCTAATTTTTCAATCCTTTGAAGCAGTTCTTGGCAATACAACACAGCCCCATATGGCAGTGTTGGCAGAGAGGACACATCCAACAGCTGCTACCTCATCCTTGCACCTCACAATGACTTCACCTGCAAGGGCTCTGCCGCTTTCATCCTGGCTCCCACTCTTCTTATTCTGTCTCCTTCTAGCACAGCACTTCTTCTCCGGCTGGGAAGGCCAGTAAGTGCTTCCTTTACAGACCTAGTGCCACTGCCACTGTGCTCTCTGGAGCAGCCAGAAGAGGCTGCCCTGACAGCAGAGTGGAAAGAATGCTTCAGCATAGTGAAAACAAAACTCCTCAGTTCAACATCCTGGGACCGTTCATCAGCGACTAGTGGCAGATGATCAAAACTGGGCTGCTCACAATGAAAGGGCTTCCACGCTAGTCGCTTACATGTCACTCAAGGGCACAATGCTTATATACTGCACTTCCACGGAAATGCTAGTCACTTACATTTTCATCAGAACAAACCTATTCATTTCTGCACTACCCTGATGACACGAGAACTGTTGCCTCAAAAAATGCAGAGCTGTGAGATTCTTATATATACAAACACATGTATATATGTATATTTGCATACACGCCTAGACACTGTATGTAGAAACTTTAATTTAGAAATAACAAAACAAATGCGATTCCTGCGTCTCTCCAAAAGGCAAGAGCTACAAGGGAAGCATGAGAGACATACAAAGTTTGGGCTACCTCTAATTAAAACTAGAAACATGAGGTTGCCCAATTATGCTCCCATCAGCATTCTCCTTTTCTGTCAACACACAATATTATATTCATGAGCTCGCTGATTACGCACACTCTATTCCACATTATATAAGACTGGAAGAATGTGAAAAACCTATTACTGACAATCAGTTCATTGTATGAGTTCATACACAGATTCCCCAGAATTTCCTACCGTTCTAATTGCTGTAGGGATTCCAGATTCATCCACCGGGCCAATCCCTGCATAATGTGGGGCTTTAATGACTGTAATTTTTTTTTCTTCTTCTGAGGATCTACAGATTGGTATTGTACTGGTGGTGGTGGTGCTGCCAACAGTCTGAACATGCTGTGAGTACGTCTCTGTGGACTCTGTAAAGATAACATGACAGAATATTGTATAATGATACAATAATCACACTTGGCAGTTATAACACGCTTCCCCCTTTCAGTAAGTTGTACGAGGACTGAACGCAACATTTTAAAATCATCTTAGCTGGGGCTTTGCCCTACTTAATGTTACATTAACAGAATGATAAACTTAAGAAGCAGACAGGCTATTCAACTCAGCTCATAAAAAAAAAAAAAAGGAAAAAGAAAAAGAAATAAAAGAAAAAAATCCCTACAAACTCAGCAAAAAACTATTGAAAAATAGTGGCAACAGCCTTTTTCCTATAAATCAAACTTTTGCACCTTCCCTATGCATTCCTTGAAACTACGGACTTTGAGACTTTCCCCCCTTGCCAAGTATAGCAAACTGTAGAAAACTGATGTTCTGCAAGCACAGCAACAGATTCCAAACAGCCCTCCACAAAGACTTAGATGGTGTGTGTTTAGAAGCAGGAAGTTTTGATACCTGAATAGTTTTAAAAAACAAATTCTGACATACAATTTTAATCCCTTGAACCTATATTTGAGTGCCTCTATGTATAATCCATAAATATGGACCTCAGCAACTTGGCATCTGTAGAGCAACCTGATGATCCACTCACAGTGCTTCAGGTGAACTGCGCAGGCTGCTACTCATTTAGTGGTGACTTGCAGTATTTCTACCCCTCTCACCCAAGTCTTCCTTTATAATTAATGATATTAATATGTCACTATTACAATCTCCCTTTAAAATTATGTTATTTATTTAACGAAAGACACCCCACTGCTAGGATGTGTCATGTGAAATTTTTTACTGCTGCAGATGATGTGCTTCTTTCCTACAAGCAGGAAAAAAACTCTACTCCTACTCAGCATTTTTCAGTAAATTAGTGGGCTGCTATGACAATGCAGCTTTTCTTGCAAGAGCAGGTACAGTGCTTGTGAGACATTTCCACGCAGCATAAACAAATGTAGGAAGCAAAAATAAGTATTCTAACACTAATGGTGAAACTGCAATTGCCTTTTTTGTGATATTCTGATCCCTTGATTTCTGAAGCCAAATATTTGAATTGTAATATAAATCAGCAAAAGGAGCTCCAATGACTGAAAGTTCTACTTTTAGTTTGAATATTTCTGCTCACTCCTACTGCAGTGAGCTGGATTTGGCATGGCTGCTTCAACTGTTTAGTTAGTTTTGAAATCCTGTAAATAATCCAGTGCTACACATATATGGCGAAGGGCAACTCTGAGTGACAAATATCTGACTACTTGGGCCTTCTTCCCAAAAGGCAAGATGTTAAATTTAGAAAACATTTTGGATTTGATCCTTCATTCTTCATAGCCCTCAAACGAAGTCCATCAGAAGGACTTTTACATGAGGAAGGATAATTAAATGAGGCTGTTACCGTGGAACACAGAACTTCAGGATCATGCATCATAAAAGTCATAGAAAAACACTTCACTTATTTCAGGAATACCCAAACCAGAATTGATAGGCCTTTATACCAGTAAACTGGAAGGAATTGAAGAATCTAGAATTCTGGGATGCGGAGAAATCTATGAATACAGGCTTTGTGCTGATCACTATGATAAGCAGAGCAGCATTTGTCTAAGCTGTAAGTCTCAGAGCTAGAGCTGTCTCCTAATTTTCCCACATGCACAAAAAAAAAGTAAACTCCAGGGTCACCTTAAAATTATTTTGCATGTATAGTCTTATCTAAATATGCAAACCACTAGAAAAAGCAGTAAGCAATTACTGCTCTGGCAAAACTAGATTATACTGTCAAAGGTCCTTTCTAAGGCTTATCATGTATTAAAAAAATAATTAATAATGCCCTGCAAAAAATACATAAATTATAGATTGAAATGTGTTTAGATATTTAAAAGCCCAACTCTCCACTCTTTGTTGGCAGTATTTCTCCGGAAGATTGCAGAAGTTGTGGTGTACATGTACCAATGTACAAAGTTGGCCCTTGGCTTCTTAAAGAAGGCAAAACCTGAAGGGGCTGCACAGGTTGAGTTATTTTTGTTATATGCTCCTCTCTTGGTAAAGCTTGCAGAAAATTGGTGAGAGGTTACCCTCACACACAGAAGTAATAAAACCTAATAGTAATGTCAGTGCAGTATCACTACTGTATCTAACAATAAATGCAATTTCTTTTATTTATTTCTTTTTTTTTTTTTCCATTTATTTCCCAAGGTAGATGAATAGACAACACCTTCACTATGGATGTGAAGCACTCTGCAATTGTTTGCAGTCTTTGCCACAATAATTGGAATACGTTGCATAATGTATAAAGCAAACATTCTGTGTGAGGCTTACCCATCATCCTGCCATGCTGCATGATAACAATGTTGGAATTGAGCGAAGCTGGTGGAGGGTAAGCTGAAGAAGGGGAAAAAGGCCTTTGAAAGTGACTCACTGGGCTGGCAGCAGTGCCAGAGCTCCCATTCACTGTGATCTGAGCCTGAGAGAAACAAAACAATACCCCATTAAACTACAGACAAAGCCCTCCCACCGCCATCCCAAACAAAGAGTGATGCAAGACTGTCATCCACACAACAATTACCAGTTGTCAGGTAGGTAGCCATAACGGCCTCCCCATTCACTGAAATACAAAACTTGTCACCAGGGGAGCAGAATGTGTTCCTTATCTACCTTGTACCTCCCCTCTTCCCTCCTTGTATGTGCTGTCTGTGAAGCATGCTGAAGTCATGGGAAGGTGACACAACGACCACAGTCAAGGCAATGAAGATAGCACAAACAAGGCCTGCAGAGGTCTGACAACAGTCTAAAATGAAGATGGCAGTAAAATTTCCTCTCCTTGTGTGACAAAGGCTGCCTGCAACAGAACAGTCACTCAGAGATGTTCCTTTAATGGACATGCTCAAGCCCTATTGATATTAATGGCACCTTCTGTGCAGACCAAAGGGAAAAGTCTCATTAAGGCTACCTAAAGAAAGTGAGCCAAAGCTTCTTTAAAAAACATGGAAGCCAGCTGGAATTACTATGGGATGCTGTTACGCAATCTATCACAATAAAAATAAATAACACCAATAAAAATAACCCCACAACCACAAAAGAACAGAACAAAATTGAATAAATAAAATGGGAATGTTGAGTAAACTGGCAGTATAGCCATTCAGGCTTTAGTCACAAGAGGGACTTCTGAAACAATCTGCTTCTCAGGCCCCAGAGTTTAGAATCCCCACATCTGGGCTGTAGCACTTTATGGGGAGTACTGCAAGGATCAAAACAAAGAGACTAAGAAAACATTGAATGAAATG